TTCGATGTTCTGAACTTAGCATTATTTTACTGTATAGTAAATGCACATCATTTTTTAAACAAAAAAAGCTGATTTGGTACATTTTCCTCGACATGGTTCTTAGCGTTCTTGTTTTGTTTTCCAGGTGCGACGGGCACTGGACAGGAAACAAACGAAGCACGGAATCCAACGAACAACAACAAGGAAGCTATGTACAAACACCCCATTAGCATAGGCAGACAAACCAGTAGACATACCACCAAGCCGCTCGGAAGATTTTTTTCACCCGAAAGGGAACCATCGAGCTTTTTACTTCCGGCTGGTTCTGTCTCAGAGTCCTCACTACCCCACTAGGGGGGGAGTAAGCTGTAGCGGTAAATGATTCCCCAAAATTATTGACCACAGCAATCACTCACCATTGGATGCTGACCACCACTGTTTAAGTCGACTTGTTTAGCTGAAGGCTTCCGGTCAAGCTTCCCCGCCATTTGGTACCCAATCGTGTCACGTGCACGATCACTAGCTAGCTAAGCGTTCGCCTGAAGGTTTGTTTTGGTCCCGAAATATATCACGAAGTTTGGACGATCAAATATTGGCTTTTGCTTTGTTTTCGGTACGCGAGAATAATTTAGAGGCTGTGTAAGATAATTCCATCAACCCTCTAAAAGTCTCTTACCCAATCGCCACCTCCACCATTCTTATTTAATCCATTTGGAGTGCTAGGGGCCTTTTTGATTTACATGGAGGCCGACAGCAGAGCTCTTTCGCACCCTCCAAACTGAATTTCGTAGACCTCAACAAGTCCCGATATGAAACTCCAAGTGGAGAAGTGATAAAAATGGAAATTCCCCGTATTGAAAGTGATCAGGTCGTATTCTCAATCAGAACCAGTCTGTACAGCTGTAAACCTTCAAGTTCTCCAAGCCTTTGATACTTCGTGCTGAACAGATAAATATTAGTTCAAATGCTGTTAACATTTACACTAAGTTTGAACATTTTACAGCGCCAAGTATAATATATGCGCTGCAGCATGTTCTCGTTGTAGTTGATTCAGTAAGGTAACTGTAATGATTGTTTTGGTGTTGATTAAAGTTGAAATGGGGTTTTCAAATCGTGCTGATAATTTAATAAAGCATATTGGATATAGATACTTTTTCGAGAATCTGATTAAAACAGTAGATCGTCGTAATTATGGAAGTGCTTTTTTTTCTAAGGAAAATTTTCACTAACACTTTGAAAAATTGGTATTGAAATATGTTCTCCATTTTTTTAGACAGAGGTAGTACCCCTTCCACTTTAAACAACCCTGTGTCTTAGCTGATTAAAAGTTATGTAGCGGTTAGCAAGACCTAGGCTTTGGAGTTGCTAAAAAGTATTTTCTAAATAATACGCAGTAATACCACAAGTGAGGTTCTGTCTTATAAGACGCGTTTTATAGACAGCATTTCGTCAATACTTAATGTAGGTGTTACAAACTGTTTTAATTGGCGTATTCTACAGTATTACATGCAATATGATATATTGTGAATACTGATATTACTTGCAGTCTGACAATTGGGATTATGTAGTCCTTCATAAGCCTAATTCAATTTTATTGGCTCAATACTCCTGTAAACGTGTAATTGTTGTTAGTCTTCTAACGTATTCTTGTCAAACTTCAACTACATTTAAAAGCATGTTCATTCGCTGTAAGCGGACTACGGAAATTAAATATTAAACTGGTTAACTTCAGATGACATTTTGTATCTGTGTTTGTATTTATGAGTGATTTCTGTGATCTTATATTGCAAAGCTTATTAGAAAAATCATAATATTGTCATGGTGAGTTAATTGCACGTAAGTATAAGATCATTGGAGATCGAAACGTTTGATTAAGTAAAGGAATGTCACATCTGATCCCTATCAGCCACTTGAAAAACAACACCAGGCAGTGATCATCCGTAGGTTCCTTAAGCATCCTATGGTTTGCACTGTCAACTAATAGGCTACGATTCTGTTTTATTATTTCTGTCTTGGTGTATTGTGTAGATACACATCCTAATACATTCAAATACATGTGCATGTATACCCTCTAAATTAACACATATTTGAGATAAATAACAATCAAACTGAAAATTTTACTTTTCTTAATAAGTTAAGTGCATCTGGTGGTAGTGCAATGTTATCTATCCCGAATTATTATCACATACCTACTTAACATTTTCAGTCCCCATTTATTATGCACCTAAGATGTAAAATATCAATAAAACGGCTTCCTAAATCAAGACCTTGTAATGTTTAGATTTCGAAACCAAACTGACAATTAATAAGCTTTAAAAATTTTGCAAATCGATGAATATCCATTTTTATTAAGAACTCGGAATTCAACACAGAATGTGAAGTAAAATGGTTTATACTGACATTCTTCTATTTAGTGCTAATAACTTTATCAGTGTAACAGCTAGCCATTTTACATACACATACTAGGCCAAAGTTCTTCCGTATAGAATTGTGCCTTGTCAAGTGAATGACATGATAGTGATAACAGAAATGTTAAACTTCATAAGTATATGAATTCTAAAACTAGCAACTCCTAGTTAATATATATGTAAAATTTAGGCACTGTGGTAGTAAGTAATTCCATATTAGTTTCTTTATTAGATATACCACACAGTGGAACAGTATTATTTACTGGATACTGTTTCACTGTGTGATACTTGTGATAAACAAACTAATATGGTAGCACTTCCTAGGTTTCTCATTATTGACAATATTGGTTAGTGTCAAGTTTTGTCTTAATCCTTCATTCCTACTCAAAATGTCTGGAATCTATTTTATGTAATACTTCTGTGTTGTGTTCTCGTCGCTAAATTATTGTTATGGACTGGTCGAGAATTTAATAGTCCTGACGCAAGAAGGCGGAAATCAGAAGACCACTAGGTTTGCGATGATACTTCTATTTTCCAAACACAAGGAGAAGCAATAAGTGGTATCACACCAAAGTAAGTAATAAGTGAGTCACACAAGATTGTGTGAGCGAAATATATATGACCATCCAGACAAGTTTGTGAATAAATCACTAGACAGTCTTAACATGAATGGCTAATTATAATGGAGTGTCGATCCAAATATACATAGCCAAATATAGCAAACATGTCAACAACAACCATATATGGATATGTCACCAAGCAACGGACTGTCAACAAACACTCATATTATATTATGTATAATATAAGGGAAATATGCATTGTTAAGGAGACAGGTTCATCAAAGTGAAATGGTCACAGACTAAGAGAGCAATAGAAAGAGAGACCACTATATATATATATATATATATATATATATATATATATATATATATATATATATATATATATATATGGGTACATATCATTCTGTTATGATGCGTTCTTTGTTAACTTCCAATTCACTCTTCAAATTTATTGGAGTAGATATACAAGTGAGAGAGATGCAGATCCGTTACTGATTCACTCGTTTGTCAATAAAAGTTTCTTTTAAATGTAAAGCAGTCCGTAAGAGAAAATGTGAGCCCTTCCATAGAGAGAATACCTTCCTGATAGTTTTATCTTATTCTAAGAAATTCAATGATATCAAGACTCAATGATCCGAATACTAGTCAAGTTTTCATTTTATTGTTCGGAACTTGAAATTAGGTGAATCCTTAATTATATGATCTTTCTCCGAAGAGGTTTTAATATTGTGGACAGGTATTTTTAGAGATCGTATGTTGGTAATTTGGTAAAACCCACTACTGGTATTAATGGGACTGAAGGCTTGTACATCTTTTGTCAACCATAGAATCTTGAGTGCACATAAGGCTTTAGTTTCAGTCCTAACAACAGAATACTCCCAATTTTAAGTATCGGTTCTTTAAGACGTCTGTTTGTATTAAAGATTCATTGTGTTAAATGAAAAGGATTCCTGACCTGTTAATTAAGCAGACTAGTTGTAAATAAATTCAATAGCTATGACTGACTAACGTTAACTTCTAGACTTTCAATCAGTGAGTTAATCCCTGCGTTCTCTAACTTAAGCAGATTCTGTCTGTCTGTTTTGGAAGTAGAACTTTGCACCGATGTACACCAGTTCAAGTTATCACACTCACTCCATGTAGCACACAAACCAAGAGAAGAAAGTGGAAGAAATGCATAATAGAGACAGTAAACAGAGGTGTGAGACAAGGGAATAGTAATAACGAACGAAGAACAATATAATTTCATTGGAAATCATAAGTCACAAGGAGCGGATACATCTTTGCTAGCCATTGAGAACGATTTTGATCCATATCACCACCATTTCTTTCCAGCCATTGGTGTTTACTGTCCCGAGGACACCAACTGGTAAGGAAGTATAAACCTCCCTACCTGGCTTAAACTAACTGTTGTGGATTTCATTGACTGGTGCCATGTTTTGGTCTGACCGCTGCTAGCTCTTTTCCAGCCTGAGCGTGTGTCAGCTAACATTGCTCGTCGAGGAAGGCGATGACTAGGCATACGTAACACATGTCCTAACCATCTCAATTGGTGTAACTTCACACCGTCGTCGATTGGTTTCCCCTCCTTACTCAGTAGCAGTCGAGTGATGCCTAACCTCAATATAACTCACCTTATTATACCACTACACACGGGAGATAGAGCGCAGGCACCTATGATCAAAGACAGCTAGCTAGGCTTTTCATATCTTCTACTCTCAATGGCCAGGCCTCACAGCCATAAAGGGGGACGGAGCGGACTGATGAGCAGTACACCCGCAGATTAGTAACACCTTAAAGTAAAAGACCCTGGCTTAATGGTGTGGATACTCAACCCAACTTTTAAGTAGTGATTCACTCTTCCACTGTTTGAGGAGCTAGATATTTCAAGAACCTGTCACATTAAATGTCGTTTTTCCAAATTCTACAAGTGCTATTTTTCCCAATTTGAAATGTAGTTTTAGAAAAGTATACTGTGTTCAGCTACAGCTTATTTTTTATCAACTTATAGTTCCTGCCATCGTCTGACTCATATATACCCGTGTGGAGTATGACCGAAACAAATACAGGCAATACAGGAGTCCTTGTTTGCAATCCTGACTATCCACCACCCGGTGCACTACCTTTAAAATCCAAAGAAGTCTTTTCATTACGTCTTAAAGCACTTAGATCATGGGAAAAACCATCTGAAATATTACCTCTTCTCTTTGGAAGAGAAGCAGCAACATTTGTTACTCTACTTTCCAGTACAATTATAAACAGTCGTTCAAGATTATTTTTCAATATACACAGTAGAACTGGATATATTTTCTCACTAGTCCCAACTGTGATTACTCCAACTGCTCTTAGCCATTGTATCTTTGGTGAACTAGTTCTAAAGAAGATTCTTATTGAATCCACTAATCCTGACTTTACTCCTGACTGCAGCTTTTGCTTACAAACACGTGGGGCTCTATTAATGGTAAGTTGTTGTTTTTTCATAGGCTATATGATCATGATTTCGTTGCATACTTTATAAATATGACTTAACAAGCAGACAGTTTCAATACACTATTTGATTATATTTATTTACCAATGAAAAAGTTCCCAATGCCCTAAAACATTAAGGATTATCCCCTGCAAAAGAAAACAGAATTGACGCTGATGGCTTATATATATATATATATATATATATATTTAAGCGGTGGAAAAAACTAATCATTATGTATTGTTGTGATTTGTGGGGAAAACGGACTTTGAAATGTTTGTCGAATTTCCTTCCTTTAAAAATTTAAAACAATTAGTTCCCTTTACGAATTTTTGATAAAGCAATATGAAGACGTAATTTGTCTGAATCGTGTAATGTATTTGCGCCCACAACACATTTCGAACAATCTGATCACACATGGACTTGTGTATCTTTCCTAGACATATTGCTTAGTCGACGGCTTGATGGGTCAATAAAAAGATCTATTAATAGAAAACCTACCTGGACTGGACAGTATCTTAATTACCACAGTTCCTGCCCTGTTCGGTACAAAAGAGCATTAGTAAGGTGTCTCTTCAGTAGAATCCAACGAATGTGCATTGAAGACACTTGATGAAGAAGAAAGAAAGTCGACACAAACTCTGATTGATAACAATTATCTAGACAAGTTCATCAGGAGATATAAAGTAGTCAGAACACCAAAACCTACTCTCCAACTTGCCCCGATGAAAGACGTGTACATCAAGCTACCCTAAATGAGGCATCAAAACAGCCTGATAACTAGACAAAGACTGAACGCTGCTGTAGTTAAGAAGACTTTTTGTGCAGCTAATATCATAATAATTGAGAATGTGAAGCCAATATATCTACCTAAGCCCTTCGAACATGCGAAAAATGATGTCACATCCCACTGTATTTACCAATTTGAATGTATGTGTGGTCACACATACATAGGGAGGACTCATTGATCTATGCAAGTAAGTTCTGGCTTCAAAGCATATTCCTAAATGGCTCCAGAAACAAATGGAATTTTCAGAACCCACTAATGGTGAGAAGAGGAGACCTAGCTGCTGTGTTGCGAAACATATTATAGAGACAGGACATAGAATTGACGTTAACAGACCTTTTAAACCTATCTGTAAAACGTGTTTGGGGCGTATCCTAAATTTTGTGGAAGCCCTAGCTGGTAATTAGGAAGTTTAAACCACCTGTTTTGCGTTCAAAGCAACAATTCATCATCACATTAAACCGTCCTTTGTTTTAATATCATAGCAGATGTACTATTACCTCTGCTATTTGGTTTAGTGGTCTTCATTTTTATTTTTGACCTTGAATATGTCCTTTTAACTTGACCTAAGCGTATTTTCTCACCTCTTAACTCTTTATTAATTTCATATATGTATTCCTATGATAAGTCCATGTGTGATCAGATTGTTCGAAATGTATTGTACAACTACATTACACGATTCAGACAAATTACGTCTTCTTATTGCTTCACCTAAATTTCTTCTCTAATTTTCACAGTTTGAAAACTGTGTTAATAGATCAGCTTAGATTCCCTCAAGAAAGTGCACCATTTCAATGTCGTAGGTATAAAAGCAGCATGCAAAATGAGAAGTAAATAAATAGAATAATACTACAAAAGACAATGATAAATATACCTTGACAGTAATAAATCAAATATTTTCCAAGAGTTCGTTTGTAGGGATTTGATTTGTTTCCAGTTTCGCGCACAGATTGATATCAGTTAGAGAACCATCAAAAAGCGTCCGAAAGTAATGGACATCTGTTCCATCCTAGTGTGGGACTCATTGGCAGTACGCGCCCGTCGGGTTTCCAACCCATGACCTTCCGGTTACAAGGGAAGCTCGTAGCACATTCAGCCAATGGGACCTAGTCCAATGGCTCCTAACTTTCAACTTCTACTGTTTCCTGATTTTAACGCCACCGCCGGCTAATATCACCGACGAGTATCTGTCTTCACTCCCTACCGAGTGTACCGCACTGGTCACGACTTCTCACTAGAGCTCCTTGGTTCGAAACCCAGCGGGTGCCTACCACCGATGAGTCCCAAACTAAGATGAAGAAGCTGTGCAGCACTCCCCGGTTTTTAATGTTTTTCTAACTGATACCAACCTGTGATCAAAGTTCAAACAAATTGAATATTAATAAATGTTCCAAATTTTGAAGACGACGAAAATGCTAAATGTTGAACAAACCAGTACGCATGTTAAGATTCCTCCTCGAATCACTTCTCCACAGATGATGAAGTTTCCCAGGTGAAGAAAACTACCAACTTACATTTAATGCCTTCACTGAAGCTCACGTTTTAACGATGAACTGAACTGAATAATACGAGCAAAACTGAATAATATAATGGAATATAATACCAATAACTAACACTACGTCGTTATTATTAAACCACTGGACATTCTACTGGCATAAGAAGTCATCAGTATGACTTGCAATCTTTGTCGTTTTATGAATTTCTATTTTTGTTTTGTTTTTGCATTTCTCTTAGTAAAATAACTTCAGTTATTGTAGAGGTTGTTTTTTTTTCTCTCATACAATTTTCATTCGCCTTTTCAGAATACATTTGGATTTCTATTGCCTCTTGGCTTTAGCTTTTTCTCATCTGCAGTTACTGCCATGTTTATACGCAGTTATCCAGTCCCTGATCTATTTGACGGTAAAAATATGAAAAGAATGTGTAAACTGTACTTGAAATCTTTTCGACGTGTTACACCAGCAATGCTATTGGGTCATACACTGGTTGGATCAATTCTAGTCAAAATGATGATACACGATAATCAATATATACTTGGCCAACAAAAACTGAATCCCAGTGTTATAACAGCTAATCTGTTGGATAACAAATAAACTAGATAGAAACAGTTTTTTAGTATCCCTTCTGTAAATTGGTTATATTCCTACTACTACTACTAATCAGTCAATATAGTTTTCCTTTTATTTGCTTCAATGTTCTTCCTCCTCTGAATGCCTTATCAAACTTTAAAGTAATATCAATTTAAATGTTTTTCGACTACAGGCTTCAGGATGTCAGAAGGCTATACAAAGGTAGTTTGCGTGTGAGTGTGTATGTGTGTGTGCATTTTCTGTTTGATTTTTCAAAAAGTGTTAATTCACCATCCCCTTTCAGTCTGGTTTTTAATAATTTTCATTTATAATTATTAATTATCAAGTGAAATGCATTAACACATCTCATGCATTCAGACGAAGTAATTCTATTCAAGGGAACGCTGTTGTAGAACTCAGCCACGCAAATAGTAGTTGGCTAATGGGTAACTACTGATAAGTTGCTCAGATTGAAGTAGATGAAGTGAGACTCGAACTTGGGGCTCATTGACTAGAAGTGGAGTATATAACCCCAGTGAACCACACCTTCTGTCTGTCTGTTTTCGACATAGAACTTTGCACCAATGTGCGGCGGTTCAAGTCGCCACACTCCCTCCATGTAGCACACAAACCAAGAGAAGAAAGTAGAAGAAATGCATAATAGAGACAGTAAACAGAGGTGTGAGACAAAGGAGTAGTAATAACGAACGAAGAACAATATAGTTTCATTGGAAATCATAAGTCACAAGGAGTGGATACATCTGCGCCATCACTCAGAACTATTTTGATCCATATCACCACCAATTGTTTCCAGCCATTGGTTTTTACCGTCCTGAGGACCCCAACCAGTCAGGAAGTCTACACCTTCCTGCGTGGCTCAAACTAACTCTTGTGGATGTCATTGACTGATGAAGCCATGTTTTGGTTTGACCTCCGCTAGCTCTTTTCCAGCTTGACCCTGTGTCAGCTAACATTGCCCGTCTTTTGCAGCCCGAGTGGAATATTTTAGGGTTTTAAGCTTGAGCTTTAAAGTTTCAGTGAGGGTGTTAGTCTGACGCCCAACTTTTCTTCCTCTTCACCTGGCTTACTACCGGCTTAGCGAGGTTTAGGAGTACGTCAGTCTGGGATAGAATCCAGAACCGTATGAGGCTCACTGTTGTAGTATATGAAATACAGTTTAGTAAACAAATCTCTTTGTTGGATAGAAAAATGTCAGCTTGTATATTTCTTATCTGTTCTGAGCGTAAGTTGTAATCTTTTGGTGTTAGTTACCCTCATGTCTCCAGTAGTATGAACTAGCATTTAAATATACCATTTCATTGTATTCATCCCGTATGTAAGCTTTTAAAGTGTATGTGAATGATACTTTACTCACTCAAGGAATTTAAGGCATGCATCCGGAATATTGCCATATAAGGAAGGGACATCCAAAACCCTAAATAGGGTTCTTATCGTTGTCTCATTGTTTTTGCGAAGGCTTGAGTGCCCACACCGAAGTAGGCGGTTGTCTTTAGGGACCACATACTCACACCTTGATCCTTTGACTTGAAGTCTCATCCACAATGCAGGAAAGCAGCATCAGGAACTACGTTCGCCCCATGGTTGACGGTGACCAATACAGGTTCATACGCCATTTGATGCGTTTGGATTCTGGAGTCCTTGTACGCCATAGGTTTGAAATCAAGGTTTTCCAACAATCGCCCTAGATAAACATTAATGTCCTCCAGCCCGCTTACAAGCGCCAGACGTTTACATTCTTACTTCTACTTTTGTGAGGAATATCCCTCGCCGCGTAAAGGCAGTGGATAGGAATTATCTGGTATAGGCTATGAAGCGTGGCCACATCAGAAGATTTTGAGAGGAAGACTAGAGTCCACCCACCTTTGGCCTCTTTCGGGGAAGTAGGATTCATAACAAAATAGAGATTAGGATGGCACTCAAACCTACAAACTCTGTTAGGAGGCTAAAGGACCCAATTAGATAAAATAACTTCACAATGAATGCAAAAACAAAACGGGATTGTTATTTTGTCGAAGTCAGTTTCTGTTTTTTCGCGTTGATTGATTGGAATGAACTATGGTCGACTCTTCGACGATGTCTGAGAATTAACATGTTAATGTCATCCGGTTGACGAGTCTCAAACGGGACGAAATGCACATCCTAGATTTGAGTGCTACTTATCGTCCACCAAATAAGACGATATTGTTTTTTATTGAATTTAAAAAAATACTTTGCAATGACTGAAGTCAACTAGGTGGGCCAGTCCAGTAGAGCATGGTCAATCAGATCATCGGAACATAGAAACGTAGCTAACTGTAAAATGATTGACCTCAGAAATATGGTTAGCTTAGAGAAACACTCAGAAATCTCTATCCATGTAGTAACACGGAATAGAGTGGGACAGACCTACTGAATCTTTGTTCATCGAATCTACACCAAACACGTTCAATGAGAATGACTCATGATTCGCCATTACTTAGAGATATAGAAAATATTGCCACCAATAAAACCAAAGAATTAGAAATAGTGACATTATGTAAACGATGTTTCAATGTTATTTGAGCTCAGTGATATGATTTTGAGCTGGCTCTATGAGAATGCCCAGTTGCCCTCGTCTCCTCCTCACATGATCGTCTCCATGCCACCCTCAGACCACGTCCTACTAGTCTTTCCCCATTCGGATTCCATTAGAGGGTGGTCAGTCGATTTAGATACACAAATGAGAAACTAGCCATTGATTAGTGATCGCAAAACATCAAATGGAATGATTTAGATGTACATCTAAGAAGCAAATGACTGCTCGTGTCAGGACATAACCACGTTAACTAAGTTTCTTTAAGGTTCAGACGTCATTGAGAAGCAGCAGATCGATTACTTTGAGTCATTAAAACACAATCAATGTGTATATTTACATGTTTAGTAACCAAGATAGATTATACTGTTTTCATGTATGATTTTAAGGACACCATGAAACTACATTAAGGTGGATTTAACCATCAGTGATGTTTTAGAGTTTCGTTCTAGAGTTAGTGTAGAAATACTGTGGTTGGTAGTTTGTTTTTCTACGCTAAAGCATTCAAAAAATGTTCAATTTCTGATTTGCTAAGATATAATGACCATATCTGGATCAATCTGTTTGTAGTCAACTAAGAAATTGTGCATTTTTTAATTAGAATTAAGTTCCACGTATTTCTTCAACCTGAGCAGCTGGATAGTATCGTAAGCCTTCACATAATAAGTGTGACTCATAGCACGGAACATGAAAAGCCTGTTCCAGGGACTGAAATCGAACAATCAGCTCTGGAAGAGAATTCATACTTTTTAGACAGGAAGGAGAATTAAATCTGAGGTTAATTATTGTTTGATAGCTTCTAAAGTTAAAAATCTCTCGAATTTATAAATCTGGCGTTAGCGAAGAAGTTCAGTTACAGCATAGCAGTCACAAAATGACTGTGAATAAGCAAAACTCAATGGACTAATGAAAAGAATTTTAGATTTTCCCGTCGATTGATTGGACTGAAGTGCTCGGTCTCAGGTTGGCATGCCTACCGGCTTCTTGTGCAGATGCTTCGAAGATGTCTGGGCATGTAATTAGAATTTAATTGGTGGATGGTGACTAGCAGTGGAGTTCAGGATAACGCGCATTTCGTCCTATTTGGGACTCTCCAGCTAGTGGATGTACCTGCATTCCCCAGTGAGTGATGATGTTCTCCTCGAGGCTCGAACCCAGTGCCCATAGTTTCAAACGCCAAAGCGTTGTCCACAGGACCACGAGAGCCACCTCTTGTGCAATGGGTCATATTAATTATTTTGTTGAATTTTAGATTTTCCCGTCTCATGGCTCAAGTGGTCTAGTGGATAGTGCTTTGGCGTTTGAAACTATAGGCACTGAGTTCAAGCCTCGGTGGGAACATTATCACTCACTGAGAGAGCATTCATAGTTAGTCCCCTGAAGGTTATTCTCAGGTTTCTTGGAGTTGCCTGCTATTTTGTAACTTCGCCAATATAACTACAAACCCCAATAATTCAACCATCCGGTACTACTAGCCAAATCATGTAAAGTACATGCAGAAGCTTCGACACTTCTCTTCAACAAACCTTAGGATTATGAATAAATACCACAAACATGTTCATTATATGGAAAGCCATTTCTGAAAGGTTGTCAGAAAATACTAGGAGATATTTTTTTGATTATGAGATTTGGATTAACCTCTACTATTAGATTCCTTCAAGAGCTAACATCATTTAGGGGAGATCATTAAAAACCATCAGGGTGTACTGAACGGCTGTTGTGTCCGATTTTCGGACTCTTTAGCAGTTCGCGTGAGAGTAGTGCTATATAGCGAATTGACAGAGTTATAATTCATGGATCATTGAATTACAACCTAAGTGACTGGCTGAATAGTCAACGAGGTTGGTATCGTAACCTGAATGTCCTGGATTCGATCGCTGGTTGGGTCGTGGGTGTGTACCGATGGAGAGTCCTGAAAAAGCAGGGTGAAACGGCTGTCCAGTGCTCCCTAGCTGCCAACTGTCTCTGTAACTGATCTTGATTCATGAAGAAATCCAGCAGTTGAGATCCTTTATTGATTTAATCCATATCTCTTTTGATGTTCTTTCTACTCGAATTAGGCTTCAACCTAATTTGTAAAATTGTTCTATTGTGGTGAATGAATGATCTCTTGATTCTCTTCTGCTCTTTTTTTCCCTACAGATCAAAGTAAACATTGGCGGTTGTAAAAATTGTCTATCTACAGTTCAGCATATTATTGGAGTATACTGCGGTAGGCGCAAATTCTTAAAATGCATTCATGTATTGAGTGTCCTTTTTCAACTAAGAATTCAGCTACTTTCCATCACTATTCTGTGTGTCATTTAAGCTATCTAGATAAAGCAATAAGAAGACGTAATTTGTCTGAATCGTGTTGCAATGTATTTGCGCCCACAACACATTTCGAACAATCTGATCACACACGGACTTGTCGTAGTGTGGTGAGAGCTTACTGTTAGCCAAAATTGGTGGACAGTAATTTACGTCAATGTTTATGTCCCCAATATTGGTTGTGAGAAAAATGAGAACAAAGGCTTTGCATAGGCAGATACAGTTAACATATAGATGATCTCACATTAAAGAAACAGTCTCAAAGAGGTGCAAGGTTAACTTTCTGTGAGAAACAACCAATCAGAAGACTGTTTTTTTCTGCTAACAATAATCTATAATAATGTTTATGAAAATCTATAAATATGTGTTGATTTCCTTAATAAACGATCTGTTTCCTGGCCCTTGTCTTCTGTTGTTACAATAGGAATATATATGAAATTAATAAAGAATTAAGAGGTGAAAAAATAGACCACTTAGGTCAAGTTAAAAGGACAAATTGAAGGTCAAAATAACAATGAAGACCACTAAACCAAATAACAGGTAATAGTACACCTACCCTGGCTGGTATCAAAACAGAATTTACCAAGGAAGGTTTAGTGTGATGAGGAATTGTTTTCGAACACATAAACTTGGTTTAAACTTTCTAATTACCAGCTAGAGCTTCCACAAACTTTAGGATACGCCTTCCCCCAAACACGTTTTATAGATAGGTTTAAAAGATCTGTCAATTTTATATCCTCTCTCTATAATATGTTTCGCAATAGATGAGATAGGTCTCCTGTTGTCACCATTAATAGGTTTTGAATATTCTATTTGTTTCTGGAGCCATTTAGGAATATGCTCTGAAGCTCTTACCTGCAGAGATCGATGATTCCTCTCTATGTATGTGTGTTCACACGTACATTCAAATTGGTAAATACAGTGGGATGTGACATCATTTTTCGCATGTCCGTGCGTGATCAAATTGTTCGAAATGTGTTACGCAAATACATTACACGATTCAGACAAATCACGTCTTCATATTGCTTTATCTAAATTTATAAAGGGAACTAATTGTTTTAAATTTAAGATATCACTCAAAGCTGGAGAGGATTGAACATTTTTTTTCGCATTCTAATTTAAAACTTATGACAACTGCAGACTGACGACTCATTCTACTGTCGTATCCAAGACTGTGATTGCCCATATGTTCCAATGATTTCGTTTATATCAATCAATACATGATAAAAATCACTTCGGCTTCAATTAATTTTTCAGCAATCTTCTCATCGAAAGAGACAAATGTAAACCGCTAGTTGAGTAGTAAGTATATGATCAGAGTGACCAGTCCTTTCCTTTCATGTAAACTCAGGTGGGAATCAATGAATTGGACTAGGTTTCAGTGGCTGAATTGTCTACGAGCTCTCCTTTTAATCTGAAGGTCCTGGGCTCGACCCCTGGAGGGTACGTACTGCCAAAGTAGAATAAGTCAGCTATCAAGTACTCCCTGGTTTCCCAGTGGTTCTCCAACCGATATATATATATTTATATATAACCTGAAGATCCATGGTTCGATCTATGTTTGGATCGTGGGTTCATACTGCTGTGGAGTTCCAAAATAGGCCGAAAAACTGGTTTGTTTTTCCCTTCACCTTGCTATATCAAGAGAACATTAGACTCAGTACTCTATAACATGCTAACATTTCCATACTCTATCGACATTATTGTTTGAAACGAACCCATTGTTATCATTGTTACTACATTTATTATTCTCATTTTTACTTTGCACATTTTTGACTTTATTCCTACTTCAAAGGTGGACAAATTCTTGTTGTTGCTTTTATTTATATTTTAAGGAAATTCGATGTAATATTGTGACAAACGCTGAGAGTTCCATGCTGTATTATAAGTACTGTTTATCTTGGAATAAAGCAGATTATTATTATTATTATTAAAAATTAATCTGCACCCATTTCTCTTGATGGATTATTTCCAGGTATAGAGAAATACGTTTTTAATTTTGAAGAAAATCTTCTGTCAATACATCCATCTCACGCTAAACGAGTAATAAATTTGTTGAGATTTGCTGGATGGGATACTGACGAATGTAATGATAATCCTGATCTGTCACTTTGCAGTCAACCCAATGAAGGTGAAGAAAGTAATGATGACTTGTATTTCCTGCCTCATTTGGAAGATGAGGTAAAGGTAAGTAGTTCATCTGACTCCACGGGATGGTTTGAAGTATGCAGTGAGTTGTGGTCACAGTTTCCACTTTGTATTTTAATTCACATGTTACAGATATCTAGGGAAAGGTAGCATAGCTAAGTTGAGCAAAGATAAACTTTATGCACCACTGACCATGGAATCAGCTATAGCTCTGGAACGTAGGTTTGGTCTTCTAACCCACACCTACACGTATGTCTAACCTAACAGTAATCCGCCTCGAACTGAGTCTAACATCTTCCTAATTAGGCTAATCTGACCGTAAACTGGCCCTAGCTTAAACGTAACCTTAGCTAAATTTTACTGGATTATCCCGTTTTATATTATAATACTTCAGTAAGCATTTGTTTTATTCATGAAATGAAGTCATTTGTTTGGTTTCACTGACTTGCTCACCGCGTTCCAAGGCCATTGGTACATTCATGACTCTTCAGTGCCTAAAGTTTAACTCCAATCTAAATTTAATTGAATTTCAGACTTTCCCGTCAACTGATAGGACCTAAGTGCTCGTTCTCAGGTTGACATGTCTATCGGCTTACTGTGCAGATACTTCCACGTTGTCTGGGCATTTAATTAGAATTCAATTTGTGGATGGTGACAGACATCGTCAAAGCGTCTGCACAAGAAGTCGACATGTCAACCTGGGACCGAGCACTTCGGTCCAATCGATCGACGGAAAAATCTAAAATTCAATTAAATTAATATGACTCGTTGCACAAGAGGTGGTTGTCGTGGCCCAAGTGATCTGGTGGATAACGCTTTGGCATTTGAAACTATGGGCGGACACTGGGTTCGAGCCTCTGTGGGGACATCATCACTGACTGGGGGACGATATAGTCCTTCTAGGCGAAGACGCTGACGAAATGCAGAGTCTTCTAAACACCTTGAGCCGCAATCTACGAATGTTTGGCATGCGATTCGCTCCCGCCAAATGCAAGATGATGTTACAGGACTGGACTACATCGACGCCTAGTTTAAAAATAGGAAGTGAAGTGGTAGAGCACGTTGACCGCTTCACTTATTTGGGAAGTACCATCAGCCCCAACGGGCTGATCTCTGACGAAATCTCAGCACGAATACAAGAGGCTCGTTTCGCATTTGTTAGTTTACGCCGACTCTGGCGTAGACGAGATGTTCGACTATCGACCAAAGGGCGGGTGTACTGCTCATCAGTCCGCTCCGTCCTCCTGTATGGTTGTGAGCAAGACCTGGCCACTGAGAGTGGAAGACATGGAAAGACTAGCTACCTGTCTTTGATCATAGGTGCCTGCGTTCTATTTCCCGTGTAAAGTGGCATAATAAGGTGAGCAACATGGAGGTTAGGCGTAGAGTTCTAGGTAAACAGGGGAAATCAATCGACGAAGTCGTGAAGCTACAAAGACTGAGATGGTTAGGACATGTGTTACGTATGCCAAGCCATCGCCTCCCTCGACGAGCAATGTTAGCGGATATAGGGTCAGGCTGGAAAAAAGCTAGCGGCGGTCAAACAAAAACTTGGCATCAGTCAATGAAATCCACAACAGTTGGTCTAAGCCACGTAGAAAGGTGTAGACTTCCAGGCTGGGGTCCTCGGGACGGTAAAAATCTATGGTTGGAAACAATTGGTGACATGGCTCAAAACCGTTCTCAGTGGCGCAGATGCATCCACTCCCTGTGACTTATGATCTTCAATGAAACTGTTTTGTATTTCTTTATTACTCCTTTGTCTCACACCTCTGCTCACTGTTTCTATTATGCTTTTCTTGTACTTTCTTCTCTTGCTTCGCGTGCTACACGGAATGTGGCGACTTGAACTTCCGCACATTTGTGCAAAGTTCTATGTCGAAAACAGACAGACAGAGAGACTGGGGAATTCAGGTACATACAGTGACGAGTCCCAAACAGGACGAAACCCGCGTTATCCTGGATTCCACTGCTAGTCACCATCCACAAATTAAATTCCAACCTAAACTATTATAAGTTTGTTTACTGTATGTAATGAAATTTGGGTACTTTGTTGTCTTGTAATAATGTTTTACTTTTTTGTGATGGAATAACGGATCTACACAGAACTTAACACAATTCATTTGTTTTGTTTTTTTAAATTTTTATTTCAATCCATGTTCATTTTTGCGGGCAATTCGCTATTTTAGCATACAAACACTGTAGATATGGTAACGCGATGTTACTTTGTAAACTTTAAAGTGCTGCCAATAAAAAGCAGCTTATGAACGTATAATTTTATTCCTAAATACGAATCCTCACATCAGAATATGGTACTAATAGTTCTCTCTAATGTCTTGATGAGTATTTTCCTCGATTTGAAGAATAAAGATGACAAGTTCGTGCACTCCTACTGAAAATCTCTCTCAGTTTTACAGCCTGTTTATCACATACTATAGAGCATAAAGTGGAGATTTTAAATCATAGACGATATAGATAAATTTTGAATGATTATCGTCACTTTGGTTGCCTAACAGATTTTGAGATGCATATTTTGTAGAATTCATCTTAACAAAGTGATCAATCACTGAGAATACCGATAATACAAAGAACTTTATATGTAACTTAAATATATATGTAAAAACAGTTTAACAAAAGTCCCTCTCTATCATATTTTAATTGATACGTGTGATTGAGAAAATTTGTCTGGTTTTGTAGCTTCAACAATAAGCTACAATTGTTATATTTCTCTTTATTCTTTTGCGTTTCTAATGGGAAACAGGGATTCAAACTTCAGCCTTGAAGTTTCATCAGCAGTAGTGTTATTTGTAGGAGTGTGGTTCTGCTAAGTTTCACACCCAGCCTTCCCTCTTTAACGGGCTTATAACAGCTACTAAGCGATGTTCAGGAGTGCATCGGCCATAAGTAGAACTGGAAGCGCGTGTAGCGTGATTGACGAGCACTTTACTACCAAGTCAGTGATGCACAATGTCACATGCAGAATTATTAAATCAGTCCATTGTAGTAGTGAAATTACGTAGTGTCAGTCAAAACCCCATAAAGACGCCTAAAGCCGACTTGTTGTTGCCTGGACGCAGAAAACTGATCTCTGTGTTGACTGCATGGTTGACTAAAACTTTCTTGAGACACAAACACACAGTCAAAAACCGCTCTGAACAAAGCTGAAGACGGTTATTCACTGTGAAATATATGGTTCTATCCAACAATAGTAATATCAAAAACTCACAATTGTCTCAACAGTGCCGTTAGACAGTTATACAGGCTAGATAATATTCTAAGTGCAAACGTAGCACTGTAAAACGTAATTAGTTAACCGAAATTTGATTTTAAGAAGTACCTTATAATCAAGTAGAATATTTCCAACAAGGTGGGATCAAAAACTCTGTCCACAAGAATCAAACACCAACCCTTCCTTCCCACAGACAGTCCAAGGTCAGAATGACCTTCATTCATTCAAACAAAGTCGCATTGTGAATCACACTATCAGTATCATTGCACAACCACAAAGAGGGGAATTAAAATTCGAGATAAAACCATGAAAAAAACAAATACTAAGAATCAATTCAGCGTGTGATGTGCAAATGTCAGAACAAATGATATACAGTCTAGCAGAAAAAGGAATAGTAACTAATAAGTTAGTTGAAGCTTCCAAATAAGTATCAGTATTGTAATTAGATCGTTTTGGAGGGATTTTCTAAGAGAATAATAATAGTAATAGTTTTATTCTTAACAGTGTTTACATGATGCACAGAATTTTCAACGGAGGTTATTGCATGATATCTTCTATTGATCCAGGATCTTCAGATAAAAGATTAACTTTCAATAGTTGGTTTATAAGGATTATATTTGTTTTTACGAGTTGATCATGGATTGTTATCAGTTAGAGAATTGGGTCCCATTGGTTGAATGGTATACGAGCATGCTTTGTAACCTGAAGGTCATGGGTTTGAACCCTGGCTGTGGGTGCGTACTGCCGATGATTCCCAAACTAGGAAGAAACAGCTGGCTGTCCAGTACTCACTGGTTTCCAATGGTTCTCTAACTGATAACAATCCGTGATCAACTTGTAAAACGATTAACTGACAGTAGACCGTGTAACACAGTTCTGTATGACCTAAAGAGCAAACCAATCCATTATGATATTTCTCCTTTTTCTCGTTCGATAAATACTTGACGACATTTTGTTGAATGCCAATTATAAAAAGTTCAAGGGTTTGTTTTGTGGACCAAGTATACCATTCAGAAATGGTCATCTCATATGTTGGGACAAGGCTACCATCGGGGATAATTCTTTTTCTCACGTTTAGTAAAAACTCCCCAATAAGCAGATTTTAAATATTTCAAGGACTCGCCAGAGTAAACAGTACCAGTACTGGTCATACTGTAACGATAGAAGACAAGGGCCAGACAAGAGATCGTTTATTGAGAAAATCAACAGATATTTATAGATTTTTATGTACATTATTATTAGCGTTATTGTTAGCAGAGAAGCAACGTCTTCTGATTGGTTGTTTTCTGCTGAAGGTTATTCTGTCATTTATTAAACAGTCCGTTGATGTATCTGCTAATCGTATCCGCCCACGCTAAGTCTGTTGTGATTGGTTGTTGAGTTCCTCAAGGTTAGGCCTTGTTCTTGTTTTTCCTCTTGACTCCGACTTGCGACGTAAACACTGACGTCTATTGTTGTCTACAATTTTGTCTTGCAAACAGCTACCACCACAGTCATGCTATACTAGATTTAAACAGACTTGATAAAAGAAATCATAGCCAATATATTGATGGAGATTTTCGGTAGTTCAGGTTTTAAGCAGGCTGGCAACAATTATTCCGTTACACCTCATACCCAGTGGTTGTTAGTCAAATGCTTGAAACCTTACATCATTTGTTCGCTTAAAGAGAAGTCTACTCAACTATCATTTAGAGCTTTCATATTTGTTCCATCACTCAGACAGTTTTGGTGACATCAATAATCTCAATAAAATGTTAATCCTTATTATATTACAAAGGCTAGTGTTGAAATGTCCACAGTTGAACCTCAAGCCTTAGAGAATATTAGACGCTTTCTTGAGCTATGAACTGTCTGTAATATTTCCTCTGTAACTGCATGCCCTGTAGGTATTAGCTTCCGTTATGATTTGATAGGCGAAGTCAGATGTTTTACAGTATAATGGTTAATTAGTCAGTCCCTTGTGAAATTAATTATTCGAATTACTGATTCAGTTTCAACATAGAATTGTGCAGAGAAATGCAGCAGTTCACATTGCCACACTCCATATAACACGCAAATGCAGAGAAAGAAAAAGAAAGATTCATAGGAATTACTATTGACTGAAATATACTTGGAAAAGTCTTTTTTATTCCCCTATGTTCCCAGCGGAACATAGGGCTTCAAGCTAGAGCTTTAAAATTTCGGTAGTAGTGGTGTTTACTTTTACGGGATTGGGTTGCTAGCCTCACGCCCATCCTTCCTTCTTTACCAGTCTTGTTACTGACTTAGAAAGTAAAGGAGTGCATTGGGCGGCGACCGAACTCCGAACCACCTGCGTGGTTGGCGAGCATTCTACCACTGTGCCACCGACGCATAGAACATGTAAAAACATGATGGTCTAATGAATATGAGAGATCAGAAGGAATGACTGCATGCATCTGTGCCAATGAGAACTATTTTGATCCATATCAACAATAGTCTGCAGCTATTGATTCTTACTATCTCGAAGACTCCAACCAGATAGTCTACACCCTCTTAAGTAGTTCAAACCAACTGTCAACGACTTCATGGCCCCCTAACTGTTTTGTTACCCAACCCTATGTTAGTCAATATTGCTCGTTGAGGAAGGCACTGTCTTGGCATGCGTGGCATGTGTCCCAGCCGTCTTAATTGATATCGCTTCATCTACTGATGGAGATAGAACTGGAACATCTGTATCTCCCAGGTTCAACGGCCATGTCTCACAGCCATAAATGAGGACACAACGAACTCCTACTCAATACACACATCCTTTAATCGATAGTCAGATATCACGTCTATGCCGGATATGACGTAAGCTGGAAGATGCTACATGAGCCTTTCAAGTCGTGCTGATATCTCATCAGCCATCACAGTCCCTTGGGGTTGATGCAACTGCCTAAATAAGTGAACTGACCAACATGCTCTACCACTCAATTTTTTTGTATAAATTGTCTAGTCCAAATTTTTAAGATTATATCAGTTATTGAAAAAGTTAAGCTGGATACAGAACTCTCTTGGCAATCTCTTCTTCATAACTCAAAGAGAAAGTTACTGGTCTTTGTAAATGTCTGAGTATTCTGCTTTTCTGTGCACTTTGCTATTTAGATTCAAGGTGGAAAATCGATTCTTGTGTTGATTTCAGAAGATAATTTAATAACTCCCTCAGTATATGCTTCACATTTTTACTACCATCTTTTCATTATAGGCAGGTTTTTCACCACTGTGTAAGAAAAAACGTGTTGATAATGATCTGTCCACTGCAACATATCAAAATCCTTGTACAACAGCTTCAGAATTGATAGCTATTCTTCCACATGAAGTTGAATGTTGTCGATTACATTTGATACCAGGTTGGTGTGTATTGGTTAAATCAGGTCCTTATCTAAGTAAAATTAATCGATATTTGCAAACATTTCTACCACTCTCAGAGAAATTTAATCATATTAAACGGATAGACAGTTGTCGATCGAATGGAAGTGGATCAATTTATGTCTTCTTACAGATAGCTAAACCAAGGTGTGTTACTGAAGTTTTATTGTTGAGATTATACCATTAATTAGTATTTATGCTATCATGTTTATATTTGTTTGTGATGACTTTGTTTACGAATAATCATTACTAACTTTATAAAGTTTATAATATTTGCCATTATTGTCATTATTCCCTTGGGTTCGCAATGGAACATAAGTCTTCAACAGTACATTTCCACCTTGTCTTTTCTACGTTCACCTGAAGTCCTGTCTTCACTGCTTCTTCAACCAGTTTGTTGGTTTTCGCCTACAAGTCTTCAACTTTGTATGATATCTGCGAAATTCAGATGCGTCGGTGGCACAGTGGTTAGGACTCTCGCCGACCATGCACATGGTTCAGGGTTCGAGCCCGCACCGACGCACATCTGATATCTATGGTCGGCCTGCAAAATTTGGGCTACCGATATCCATGCTGAAAATTCCATACTTGTACCGAAAATACAGTGTGGAATCAAGCTGTAAATAAAAAATAAAAAAATCTTCTAGAGCCTTCTTATCGGTGGTCCAGGGTATTTTTGTCTTCTGACTCCCTGTGCACACCCTGGCTTACAATCTAGTCCAACACAGGAATATCATTGTCTTGTCTACTCCTGTATTCACTTCAACAGAATGCCTTGCTGAGTTTTCCGTTGTGGATCACCTGGCACATGGCATTGTCATACAACCAGTTGTTGAATGAGGTTGATAAAAAGATTTAGGTACTGCACCGCGCCGTAGTGTTGAAGCAGTTTCCAAATTACTTCTCTGTCGAAGGCATTTGCCAGGTCGATGAAGTATTTGGGGTATGGGTTTGATTGCTATCCTATGTTCTGTTCGATGACGATATGTAGAGTTGCGATTTGATCAGCACGTGATTTGCTTTTCTTGAATCCAGCCTGTTCCGATGGTTGGCGTAGTTCTGCATCCAGTGCATCTTTTATTCTCTCCAGGACAAGAGGACGATTCGGAGCCAGTTTTTGCAGAGAACTAAGTCTCTCTTCTTTGATAGTTTGACAATATAGCCTTTCTTCCAATCAGTAGGTACCTTTCTTTCCTTCCGAACGTTTTGCAATAGTAGCTTCAGCATATCCACTAAGGTTTTCAGGATCCGTTTCCATTACTTCCGGTAGAATTCTATCCAGTGCTACCACCATGCCGGCTTTCATTAGTAATTTAAAACAAAATTTAATAGTGTCTACACCTGTGTTACTGAACCGCCTAGTGTAACCTTATAGTGATTAATCACTGGTGAGTAACCTTACTGGTACTGAATAAATACCAGCAATCAACCTGAAATACGATTAGCCGTCCAGCAGACGGCATTGCTGCACACTTGTAGAAGTAGTTTTAGATAGTTGGAGACAAGTGACTGGTAGCCCTGGATTTGAGTTTTGTGCTTACCACTACCTTTCAACAAGGAATATCTTCAACCTCAGTGGTTCGAACTTGCATCATCCAATGTTACCACTAAGGTTGGCAGAGCTTCCTCTCATTTGCCTCGAATTATCCAGCATTAGTGTGGCTTTTTTATTGTCTAGGATAACAGTGTGAATGTAAGCATTGCTGAGGAAATTCGGATTAACAATGTAATGTAATATAAAAGTGGAGGATGTAAAACTGCTTGGAAACTACTGGAAATATTTTTACAAGCACTCTGTCGAACAACAAACAGTATAGTCTCCGAGAGTTAGTTACTATGGATTTGATTCGCTTCAGGTTTAACCACAAATCGACATTAGTTAGAGAACCATTAGAAGAAAATCAGGGAGTACTGAATAGTTGTCCCATCCTAGTTCGGGACTGGTTAACAGTAAGCACTCAAAGGGGTTAGAACCCAGGGCCTTCTGGTCACAAGGCCATCAAGTTCCAGTGGTTGAATTTTCTACAAGCTAGCCTTGTAACCAGGAAATCCTGAGTTCAAGCGCTGGTGGTATCATTGGTGCGCACTGATGAAGAGTCCCCAAACGTAGGTCGGAACATCTGTCCAGTAGTCCCTGGTTTCCAGTGATTCTGTAATTGATATTGGTTCGTGACGTAATCTACACTAAAGAACAAAGAATACTCTTTTCGATAAATCCTTCTTCCGATTCTACCGGGTATCGAATAAATTACCAAAGGCCTTTAAATACCGAATAGTCCACACTACAGAGGCCACTGAAACTTTTCAAGATGTTTGCCTTACAGCTTGATCTTATTCCAGGTTTGATCACGGATTGAAATTAGTCAAAGAACCATTGAAAACCAATAGGGAGTACTGGGCAACTGTTTCGTTTCAGTTTTGGGACTCGTCGTCGGCAGTAGCATCCATGACACCACCGGGGTTCCAATGCAATACCTTCTGGTTACAAGGCGAGCTCGTAAACCATCCAATCACTGGAATCAAAAGAGTCCCGAAACTAGGACGAAACATCTGTCCAGTACTTCCTGGTCTCTCGTTGGTTGTCTAACTGATATCAGTAGGTAGTCAAACTTGCCTTGTTCTTCTCTTCAGTTAGTAAATTTTGCATTATATCATTGTCCAAGGCCTTTTTCTGAATGAAGCCGATATCATCTTAATTATTGCTTATTAATTCTTTATTATTATTGTATCCCAGCTATACGTGGTTAGATGCCAGTCAAACTATAACCTCTATGATTGATTCATTGAATATCAATTCATCTGATGATAAGGATAATAATGATAAAAATAATGAAAATATAATCACCACTACCCCAACCCCATGCTGGTTACCATTTTATGCCCCGCTGACACGAAAGCATCAAACACTTTATTCTTGCTCAAACACTTCATCAAAAGGCATAAATCGTCTATCATTGGTCAAATCGTCATCTCTTCAACCGATAGTTATGGGTTGGCCGTGTACACTACGTGCTTCTCCTGAGTTGGAAGAATTATTGATGGTTGGAAAAGATTCATTAACTTCATCGTATTTTACACAATCAGAGTTGGAAAGGTAATTGATTTTGTAAGATTTATAAATATTTTATGAATTATGTTCGTAACACATATGGCGATGTATACTAACAGATATCAGATATTACACACAGTGAGTGATACCGTGTTAATAAATGAATAACTTTTCGAGCACGGATTTATTGCGGCTCATAATCATACCACTATATATATCAAATGACTCGATAACTTTGCATAATCCTACTCCTGTTTTTAAAGGAATTTTCCATGTGGTTGATGTAGGCGTTACGTGTTAATTCGATGAACGAATATTCTGAATTGTTGTAATTCAATGGTTGGAGGTAATCGACAGAAAGACTTCAACCTAGATTTCGTACTTGTTGACCCTCGTCAGTGAGTGCTGCACTCCGAGACGTTATTATATTATTATTATTATTGTCCCGTTGGGTTTCTAGTGGGACATAGGGCTTCAACAACACATGCACGTCTCCACTTGCTTCTGTTTTACTTCTGCTGTACTTTTCACCTGCATCCATGTTAGCCCACACTGTTTCACCTCCTCTTCACACGATCTCCTCCATGTCACCCTTGCACTGAAGTCCCACTCGCCGCTTCCCTTTCCGGTTCCACTCGAGCGATGGCCTGACGCGCGATGTCGCCTGGCGGCCTCTTCAGCGAGTGTCCAATCCATCTCAATCCACTTTCTCCTGCATATTTGTTGGCCGGTTGGTTCTTGTTTTGTTTGTTAGTGCCCATAGTTTCTTGTTGGTGATTCCTTCCGGCCCGGCCATCTGATCTTCAGTATAGAGCCAGCGAAGACAGTTGTTGATAAAGGTAGGTCTGCAATAGCCTGTTGGAAATATTCTTTGTCACCCACCCGCCCGCTAAGTTTCTGATCCGTATAGGAGAACTGACTGACTTGACGTTTGTATTGGAAATCCGAATTTTGTTGTTGATGCTGAGTTGAGTGACGAAGATTTCCAGATTGGTTTCAGGTTGATGATGATGTGTTTCTCGCCTTCCCGATTCTCGCTCGATTTGGCATCCTCGTCCGTTCCGACTGGCTGTAGTTGAGACAATGCTCCCTAGGTAAGTGAATGAAGTAACCTCTTTCAAATCCCTCCCGTTGATGGTGATTGGCACTGGATGCTGGTGCTTTTGTTGTTGTTGATTGGTTATTTTCATAACCTCCGTCTTGTCTATGTTCACCTGGAGTCCTGTCTTTGCTGCTTGTAATCCTTCGATTTCGTGTGACATCAAACATAAATCATCCGCGAAATCCATGTCTTCTAGGTTCTTCGCGTCGGTCCAGGATATTCCTGTCTTCTCGTTTCCCACTGTCTGACGCATAATTAGGAATATCATTGGTGATAATAAGCACCCTTGTCTGACTCCTGTGTTTACTCCAAACACCTTGCTGAGTTTTCCGTTGTGAATAAGAGATGTTACCACTGAGTTATTCAGGCTTGCACGATTGACATCCTGTAGGACTGACTGTATTGTATACTTTGTTTGGACACTGGGTAGTAATTAATGTCATCTGTCTACTCCACTGTTTGGTGTAGACTGAATTCTATCAATTAAATATACAATATGGTCATAATGCTAGATGGCTCGCCTTCACAGTGTACTGCGAATCGTTGTTATTAGATAACTACTAGAAACAGTTGGCAGGATATCTTGGACCTAAGTTTCGTCTTTGTCTGCATGCAACACTGGGTGACACGGATTTGAACCTCAGACGGGACATGAATCCCTTTCAAGATTGCAGACAAGCCTTAATGACTTGTGAGTGTCAACAAGCACGACACCTAGGTTGAAGGCTTCTTGTCGATTGCCTCCAGGCATCTAATATAACAACCATTTAGAGTGCACTATGATGGCGAGCCACCTAGTATGGTGGCCCAAATTACGAATTTGGCTGATAGAATTCAGTCTACATCAAACAATGAACTAGACGCATGACAATTATCTCTACTTAGTGTCTAATCAACGGAACAAATATTCGACTATTAACCTCTCTCTCTCTCTACCTAGTTTTAGTGTTTTCACCCTACCGAGTTATCAGTTCGTGTGCATACACTGATACAACTATGAGCAATAAACTGTACTTGAAATGTCTTCCACTTATTATAATAATAATAATGTATTATTATTTGGTATATTAAGTAAACTTATCTACTATGGAATTGTATTTGACTATGGTGACCAAATTCTACTGTTAGATTAGTTTTTATTAAATGCATGGTGTGTGTACTTCTCAGCAGTCCTCTCCGTTCTCCTGTTTGCCTGTGAGACCTGGTCATTGAGAGTGGAAGACATGAAAAGCCTAGCTGCCTTTGATCATAGGTGTCTGCGCTTCATCTCCCGATTTAGGTGGTATACTATGGTGAGCAATACTAAGGTTGGCCATCGGTCGAGTGCTACTGGATAAACAGGGGAAATCAATTGACGAGGCTGTGAAGATACATCGATTGAAATGGTTAGGACATGTGTTACGCATGCCTAGCCATCGCAATGTTGGCTGACATAGGGGCAAGCTGGAAAAGAGCTGGTGGTGGTCAAACCAAAACATGTCTTCATTAGTCAATGGAATCCACAACGGTTAGTTTAAGCCAGCCACGTGAGAAGGTGTAGACTTCCTGACTGGTTGGAGTCCTCGGGATGGTAAATACCAATGAATGTAGACAATTGGTAGTGATATGGCTCAAAATCGTTCTCAGTGGCCGGCTGGCGCAGATGCATCCACTTCCTGTGACTTACGATTTACAATGAAACTATATTGGTCTTCGTTATTACTATTCCTTTGTCTCACATCTCTGTTTACTGTCTCTACTATGCATTTCTTCTACATTCTTTGCTCGCTTTGTGTGCTACAAGGAGGGAGTGTGGCGACTTGAACTGGTGCACATCGGTACAGAGTTCTACACTGAAACCAGTCAGTTAGACATGATTTATAATTACGACTAAAGTGTCTTGAAAAAATCATTTTTGTGATGTTTTTTCCTAAACTATGGTTAATGTAACAGCGGTCTCTTTGTTGATGAATACATTAAGATGTGAAATCGTTGAGTTTATGTGCGAAAAGCCAGTATGAACTGCCTAACATGATCTGAAGTGAATAAACTATAGTCCTCTTCTTGAAACATTCTTCAATGATCATGCATTGATAGCCTGTACCAGGTAAGTTTTAATTACTATTGAAACGGTTCCTTCTAGAAAGCTGTCCTCTGTTGTGACATATAATACAGCTATTCTACCCTGTCACCTCTAACTTCTGCATCGTAATACGACGCGTATGACCGGCAACTCTTAATAGAACCCTGAAAAAACTTCATTATCGATCAATGCTGCATCTCAACGCCTTGCACATAAGATCCCAGTTTACGCCTGTAGATAACTTCTCAAAAAGGAAATTTCTTGTGGTATTGATGTCCAACTTAGCTGTCTTACTACGCTGAAGAGTTATAAGGTTGTACTAAACACAAAAAGTGGTGAGGTGGTCAGTCATAACTAGTTATCTTAGAATGAGAGGTGTAGTTGGGTTGGGTTGGCATCTGATGATACGTCACAATTTCCCTATAACGTAAACTGATATGCACGATGGGGAGTAATATTTGAGAGGTACTTGTCCATTTCTAATTATATCGATAAGCAAAAGGATTATCTTTTACTCAGTATGTTTTGAATGCTTAAGGGAACGAATATAACAAGCTTGTGAAAAACACAGTCAATAGGTTTTTGTGGAGTTACCTTGATATTAAAGGTCATGATATTGCGATATACACCGGCACTTATCTTGTAGCAATCTATTACCTCTATATTTTCGAAATTGTTGACATAAAACAGTACCTGAAGATGTTCTCAGCCATGATACTGTTGGTGTTCCTTCTTTTTAATTCCTTTACGTTCCCATTGTGGAACATAGGGTTTCAAGCTAGAGCTTTGAAGTTTCGGTAGCAGTGGTATTTATTTCTACGAGATGGGGTTGTTAGCCCCGTGCCCAACCTTCCCTTTTTACCTGTCTTACTACTGGCTTAGCGACGTAAAGGGATTCGTCGGCCGGGGATTAAACCCTGGACCACCTGTGTGGTTGGCGAGCATTCTACCTCTGTGCCACTGACGTAATTGGTGTTCATAGTTTTCTCTAAACGCCATCCAGAAAATAACATGTTGTGCCAAGCAACTGCTGAAACTTGGTTGTTAAACCAAGTTATTCATAATGAAGTCATTCAATCCGGGGATGAGACTGTCATCAAGTATCATTACTAGGGTAATTGTAAACACCTATGAGACTGAAAAAGGTATTAGTTATCAAGCTATTAACCAAATTATAAACTATTTAAATTAATCCCAGCGTGTTAAGAAAATCAAAACAAGATTTTTCTGAACGTTTCGCCGTGTAAACCACAGCTTCTTCAGCAGATTTATTCCGATTTATATTTATCATCCAATGATGATTGATAAAAATCCGAATAAACCTGCTGAAGAAGCTGTGGTTTACACGGCGAGATGTTCAGAAAAATCTTGTTTTGATTTTCTTAACACGCTGGGATTAATTTAAATAATTTATAATGAATCAGTCTGACTCGGTGCTCAAATTATTCTAGGAAGTTCGTAACACCTACGGTTTGGAAACCTATAATATTATCTAAATGCCAATTAGTTTAAGAATTGAACAAAACAGCTTATTAGAATAGTAATCAATCACAAAGTCTAATGTCACTTCGGTCCAAACAATCGACGGGAAAATCTAAAATTGAATTAAATAGTTAATATGACCCGTTGCACAAGAGGTGGCCCTCGTGGCCCAAGTCGTCTAGTGGATAACGCTTTGGTGTTCGAAACTATGGGGACTGGGTTCGAGCCTCGATCTAAAATTTTTAATTAAATAAGTTCACTGTCTGATTTTATAGTCGTATTCCCGCTCAACCATCTAATAATAAGTCTTATAAAGTCAATTGCTTGTGAAGAAATTAATCTTTCTTTTTTCATTAACTTTCAGACATTCATCATGGCTTAAACGTGTTACCATGTTATCAAAAAATCAACAAATTTATCTCACACTCACCCACAATCCTGCGCAGGTTTTGAAGGTCCACCATGTGCAGCAATCATTGTCAATCCAGAAACGAATATGGCGCTAGCTGAATCAACTACATCGACAGCAACAGTTGACAGTTCTTGTTTAGATCATGCTGTACTACTTGTTGTATCCGCTGTTGCTAATTTGAAGAAAACACCAGAGAAACAATATTCTGAAATCTATTTGTGTACAGGTTTAGACGCCTATGTATCACTTGAACCTTGTTTAATGTGTGGTATGGCATTGCTACACAATCGTATCCGACGCGTGTTTTGTTGTCAACGGCTTAAAGAAAGAGGTGCATTCACAAATGCAAGTCGTCTTCATGTCCTAGAACAATTGAATCATCGTTTTCGAGTATTTGCTCCACCATCATAGGCATCTAAGTGATTTGCCTATATGTACATAGTAATATTACATACGACGTAAATATATATCTTGTTTTTACTGGAACCTGTGTTTCGTGTTTCCCAATTTTATTTCCAACTTCGAGTAGTGTTTTGTTTTAGTGTTGTGCGTAGATTAATTCGTGGTTGACCCCAGCTTAAGTACTCAATTTTCAGATAGCTTAAGACACCAACGACCTGTCCCATGAGTTCGTGAGCTAGCTTTCGAACATGTAGTTTTACAAAATGATAGTCACGTTGTATTAAACTCAGTTCCTTCTCAGAAAAACTCAAATCTGATGTGTTGTAGACCCTCCTCAGACAATATATTAACAACACAATATTCAGCGAAGAGACCCTTTTCAAGGAATTTATTATCAAGCTGTACAATCGTATATATATGGTTTTTTTTAAAAGAAATTATATCCGGTGATGGAATTAGGTCAAAGGTGTGAATACATGAAATAATAATAGTAGTATGAAATGCAATTAAAATATTTGTGATTATAATCATAGTTCAATGTCAAGTAGTAAAACAATCACTGTCATATATAGAATAATACATATTATTATTTATTATTATATCCTTTAATTCCTAGAGGAACATAGGGCTTCAGCCGTGCGTCTCCATTGCGTTCAGTTTTCTGCCAACTTTTTCACCCCGCTCCAAGTCTGTCCACACGACCTCCTCCAAGTCACCCTTGCACTGACGACCAACTCGCCGCTTCCCTTTCGGGTTCCACTCGAGCGATGGCTTGTCTAGTGATGTCACTTGATGGTTTCCTCAGCGTATGGCCAATCCATCTCCATTTCTTCCTGCCTATTTGTTGCACAATCGGTTCCTGATTGGTTTGCTCCCAGAGATCCCTGTTGCTGATCTTTTCTGGCCATCTGATCTTGAGTATTGAGCGAAGACATAGGGTGTATAGATTTTGGAAAGGGGTACATAATTATAGGATTAGTAGGCTAATATAAAATGTTACATAACATGGTATGAAATTTGATAAGATAGAATTCAATATTGTAAGAATAAAAACTATAAAAATTAATAATTTTGGGCTAAGAATGACAAGGGGAAACAATTCAGAGTGGGAATAGTAATAATAATGATAATAACAATAATCGTAGTAATAAGGAAAAAGTACATAGAATAACTAAATAAGTAAAATAAATAACAATAAATAAATGTCTATCCCTCTACGGCCAAGGCAGAACTAGAAATTTTACATACTTCTTTTGTGCAAAAAGACCTGGCTTAAAATCATGAATTGCCAAGGCCTCAGCTGTCTTTAGAGGTCTGTAACGAAAAAACCCTGGGAAGTTAGCATGGATTCTATATATAATCTTGAAATCATGGTCAGGGTTGACAGAAGTCGATCAGGTGTTCCAGAATAGAGCTTCGCACACACTTCTTTTCTCCCCTGTAAAACCATGCTGGAATATGTTCTCGTATCCGTGTGGAGAGTGTCCTCTAGCTACGGTTTATGTACCTTGCTCCACAAGAGGAGCAGGTGAACTGACAGATGCACATCGAGGCGGCCATACGGCAGAGCCTATCTTTTACAGAGGCAGAGAACAATTTGCGGCTCGTGAACGTCATATGTAATTTTGCTGCAAAGAACGTCTTACTGACTGACTTAGAGAAACGATTTTTGAGCATATCTGAAGCTTGATCACCTTTGAATTTCAAGTTCATGAATAAGGTTTTCTTTGGAACTGAGTCGGTGATCAGTTTAGACTGTTTATCTTTCATGTTGCTATCAGTAAATCGGTTAGGTTGACGGTGATCTGTATTCACACCTTTGACCTAATTCCATCACCGGATATAACTTCTTTTTAAAAAAAAACCATATATACACGATTGTACAGCTTGATAATAAATTCGTTGAGAAGAGTTTTTTCGCTGAATATTGTGTTCTTAATGCTACAGTGGGAATATATTGACACATTACTGTGATATTATAGCATTATAGTAACTCAGAAAAATCATTAATCAGTTGTTTTATTGTCACACTATTAAGTTTTCGATTTACTACCCCATCGTTAGTTACCTTGATAGTCAACACATCTAGGCATCTTATGATAACCTCATCTACAGTCTGAACATGTTGAAACCATTAAATTGTCTTGAGTCTAATGGTTTTTTAAAAATATCTTGGGAGGCTGATTTTAAAATACTTCCCAAGTGATTTTTATAGTTTCCCTTCCAAATGTCTGTTTACTAAATTGCTGCGACAGAAAATGTTATCACCAAGCTATTCACAAACCTAAAGCTCACCAAGGGAGCGAAATTGACACAATTCAAGACATATCTACTTTTATTCAATAGGTCGAATCATGTTGAAAAATCCTGATTTGAAAGTACCTAATTGCACTCCGTCATTTACATCGTTTCACCGTAACGAATCCTATAGAGTTCACGATTTCAAAAGTTTTTTTCTTTTAAAACCTTAGAAAGTCTGTCGGCTGAAATCATATAGACTAAAATATTCGTTAAACATTAGGCATCAATCAACATGGCCTTTACAATATGACATCTATAGGTTGGGATACTAAAGTTCTGACTAGTGAGGCGTATTAGTATTGGTCTCAATAAAAAAATGGAGAAGATGAAAGGTCTATAATCGTGGTAAAAGTGAGGTGAATAATTTATTCCGCTTTTCCACACAAAGATGATACTGCTTCGCTAATCAACAAATGCGCTGCAGAGAATCCAGTTATCAACACAAAGCTTCAATATACGTTGATAAGTAGGGTTGAAAGTATGAAAAGCTGATAGAATGATGACTAGCCGGATACTCCGGTAGGGAGTCTTTAATTGATCGATGCTACTAAAGTTTTTCTGGGTGATTATAAGGTTTTGCTTTAAGACTGGTCAATCACGGTATTATAAGGCGGGGCATCTGAGTCAGTCCATAAGCTTTAATAGCTTTTCCCCAAAGACATATAGAGCTTTAACCCCTTTCGTTACAGTAGAAGGGTGAACTAAATGGTTACTAGAACGAAACACCTAAGATTAGTCAGACTGTTGTTTTGAAACATTTCTTCCATGATGAAAACTACTTACAGTTTGCAATGACTGCTGATATCCAAACACGTCTAACCTTTTTCGGCTTGCAAGCACTGTAGTGTGCAACTGTGATCAACATTTCACAGGAGCAATCGGTTGAAAATCGACTAATTAGTAAGACTGATAATATAGGCACTAATTGTCAGCAAAATTAGCTGAATATCCCAAGTTCACTCAAACCAATCGACTTAACACCTGAACGAATTCAGTTTTTACCTACAGAAACCAAGATGCTAGTTTTCTGACATGATAAAGAGAAATTAATCCGTCATTATAGTTAGCTAAAGTCAGTTAGTCGCGCTTGTGAACACCTACCTATGCGGCTAAATATAGATATAAATAACAAGCATGCACAGTTGTAATGCTAGCACACTCAATCCAGAAAGACCATTAATTCAGTACTACAGGATCCCTATCGCTCTTGTGCCGAATAAATTCCCAAATACTTCAAGAAACAGAAGTCTTGGCAATACACTCAAGAGAGTCGGAACTCGGTATACTAAAGGAAAATGTCTACCCACTACTTGTACGCTGATCTGCTGTGGATTCTATAAATTCATCACTTCATTCCTTTTACGTATAACCTTTCATCCTGTATGCACAGACGGTATTTTCCTCCTACATATTGACGTTAGGCGTCATGTCAGGTAAGGAGGGAGAGGTAATCGATGAAGTTGTGTAGCTGTATCGATTAAGTTTACTAAGGCATGTGCAACGCATGCCTGTCAGTTAGTCATACCTAAAGTCCAATTCAGTACCGTATTTATGCATGTGATCAAACATGTAACGCTTCGAACGGCATTCCAGTAGGAGTCTGCTCATGAGTATTTTTTATTTTGCCAAAGATTGTTGTCACTAACAATTATTCTTAAACTGATGCGTACATTACTCCAGAACCTGGAGGAATTGTTTTACTTACTAATCAGTGTTATGGAAGTTATTATGGACAATGTTAAACAATTAGTATGTATAAATACTTTATGATACTGTAGAATCGGTATGGTCAAACACTCACTCAAACAAACTATGTCGCTCTAACTCAAAAGTTCTTCAGACAACCAATGTCAACTCATTTCCACAGCAGTATCCCGGGACACAAGAAATATACAGTGGACTACCATAACATTCATTAGACCTACGTCAGGATAGCGTGCTATTTCCGTATAGCATACATACTTGTTGTACGCGTCCACGAAACGTGCTGATATATTAAAGTAACTAACAAAGTTTCATTGAGCTAAAAAGTCTCTCACACTATTGTGATTAATCAAAACCCTTAATTAACATAAGTTTGATTAGTCTCAGGTATACGCTTGTAATGTGCTTACAGGCAGGAAATTTGTAAAAACTCTCAGTCGAAAGTGAACAAATGCTGGTCAGGATAAAAATACACTCGCTGAAGTTCGTCATGACATCAAAACAAATTATCCTACAGACTTCCTAATCCAAATTCACTATTTAACTAATTGCGTCAACATTTCAGTCACAGACAGTCACTGGTCGAACTTGTTTTCCAAGTATCATGATTAAAAAACAGCATCATTTAGTGTAAATGTACTGTAACCTAAGTTGGTAAAAACACAAAGCACTCCAACAAGTGGTGAACCGCAATCCTTATACAGAAAGTACAACGGCATTGGATTGTCAAATAGGATAAGGTCTGCATAACAATGAAACACTGCAACAATGTTTCGCTGCTGGTAGGCATTCTTAAAAGCTACGACAAACATTTCCCAATAGAAGCTGATCATGAAGAGACCAAAGCCAAGGCTAAATACTTCTAAATTACACGGGCATACGAATGAAAACTTTTATTTATGTACATACGATGCAAATACATTTATGATTGTTCCGTTTTCACTTTCTTTGGCGCTCTATGGGGAGGAGAAAATCTAAACATATATGACGACTTACCTATACTGAGCTGTCACCATTGCGTGACCGCGCTCAAACGGTTCTAGTGTAACTTGTTCTCGAGGGGTGAACTGTAGCTTCCTGAGTGTATCTACCTCTTTCGCGAACACGACTTCAGGGGCAGCAACCGAATCAATGCATGATGCTTTAATAGATATAACGGCATGACCACCATTCTTTAAATAATACTCTGCGTTAACACCAACTATCCTCGACTGGTCAGGCTGAGCAACATCGGCAAATATACAATCCACCATACCTTGAGAATATTAACTTCTTGACTTAAATCAACTTACCAACCAACATTCGATATTTGTGCGGGTGTCTGGCATCTTCAATGATGGGAACTACATTAGTACGATGCTTTGCAACATTTAAAAGGTCACGCCCCGAACGATGTGAAAACTCAACAGCATATACGACTCCTTCTTCGCCAACTACGTCTGAAACATGCGAAACAGTGGTCCCACTAGCCGCGCCCAAGTACAACACACGAGAGCCTGGTTTTATGTGAATCTGATCCAGCCCATTGACTATGCCGGCAGCCAGCTTAGATCTGAATGGATTCCAAACTCTGTATTCAATCTTTCCTCCAGCATCATCTTCAACACCAATACGCTTCTCACCGTAAACTGATTCACCAACGACCACATTTCTTGTCACAAGACAATCTTCTTTGCCTTTTGCAACAAAAATACCCTCGTGTCTATGGGGCTCTACAATTACTTTCCTCCCACCTCTCATTCCTCCCCCACGGCCACCTCTACCTCGTGGCGTACCTCGACCGAACCCTCCACGGCCTCTCCCTCCACCGCGGCCCCCGAAGTCACCACCTCGACCACCGCGGAATCCTCCTCTTTCACTGGACCGTCCCCCTCTACCACCACCACCATCAATCTTTTTCTCACCACCAAAACTATGTCTTTGTCCACCCCTACCACGTCCACCACGAAAACCTCCGCCTCCTTCTAATAATCAAGATACAGATCAACACTAGACTAAACTGACCTACCTGGTTTCATTATTCTTCGGCACGCCGGTGTAGCGTCTTAGTTGAAGTCCCGTCAAGGTTATTTGATTGAAAGTAGCAACCTCCAAATGAAGTCGTAATAGAAGAGAAGATTTGGTAGTTTTTTAGTCCTTTCCCTTGTTTTTATTCGTAAAAATATCTTTCACAATTGACGAACAAACCTCCCCAACTAACATCACTTCAAAACCAGTGAATGCTAACGTCCTGTGATGTGTGTGAACATGTACAAATGCACATTAGCTACTACTATAGTTGAGCAGATGAGGAAAAAGTTGAAATGAACAAGAACAGCTACGAAGCTAGGCGAGGAGACACTTTGATTAACGAATGACGAACATGAAGAACATAGCACATCATTACCTAACTCAGTGCATATGGTGTCGAAAATAAGAAATTTGAAACAAGTTTCGCGTCTAATTGCTGGTAGGCTTCCCCATGTTTGTGTCTACCGATCTGTACCATTCCCGTTCTCAGTTGCAAGTTTAGTAGAGGAACCTTGCTGATTGATTGAATCAACCTTACATCTACAGCATCACAAAGGGGCTTGAGGCAATTTAACTGTCCATAGAAGTAAGTGATGCTCCCAATGAATATGGTACAAACTGTACTTTTTAGGAGCCACAATCTCATATCAGGGCTCAGACAACACAAAACAGCCTCAGTCGTATTCCAGAGCTAGAAATAAATATCTGTTATGTCAATTACTCCGAAAAAAACTTGTCTTACTTCCCATCTGATTGTATTTGATCAATAATAATAAATAATTAAATAATTTTTCCTTCACGTTCCCAGTGGAACATAGGGCCTCAAACTAGTGGCTTGAAGTTTCTGTAGCAGTGTTTTTAATTTTTACAGGCTGGGGTTGCTAGCCTCATGCCCAACCTTTCCTCTTTACCAGGATTATTTCTGGCTCAGTGAGGTAAAGGAGTGCGCCGGCCGTGGATCGAACCCCGGACCATATGCATGGTCGGCGAGCGTGCTAACCGCTATACCACCGACGCCTATTACGCACCCACTGGGATTCGAACCCGGGACCTTCCGGTTACAAGGCAAGCTCGTATACCATTCAGCCACTGGGACCCGATTCAATGGCTCGTGAATTCTAACTTCTACTAATTCGTGATTAAGCGCAACCCCAACCATTGTCGTTGGTGGGACATCCATCCACACACGTGACATCTAATTGGACCTCACTGGTCACGACTTCTCACTAGAACTCAGGAAACTCCAACCTGTAGCAAGTCACTAGCGAGCATCAGATCAACTTTCTATAGTTCGGTTTGTAAGGATTAGTTATGTTTTACGGGTTGGTCACGGATTGATATCAGTTAGAGAACCATTGAAAACCAGGGAGTACTGGACAGCTGCTGTTTCATCCTAGTTTGGGAATCATCGGCAGTACGCACCCACTGGGATTCGAACCCGGGACCTTACGGTTACAAGGCAAGCTCGTATACCATTCAGCCACTGGGACCCATTCAGCCAATGGGACCCATTTGATCAATAACACTTATATTATTATTTCCGAATCTACTTTATCTTCTACTGATATTTTATTCAAATGTCTAATCATCAATTCCACTCAGGTATATAAATGAAGCAAGAAAGTTGTGTGAGTGACTTGATATGATTATCAAATCAAATTTATCCTGCCTGTGGCTGGCCGAGTAATAGGCCGTCCTTTGGCACTAATTGGCGGCCTGCTTAAATCTTGGGCTACCAAAATTTCCATCCTACATATTGCATCTATTTCCCCGGATTTATTTTGTTTTAATTATTCAATTATGTATCCAAGTCGCATTACTTACTCTCGCGATTATTTAAAATGTTTTCAACCTGTTGATTTACGAGTATATAATAACGTTTAGAAACAGCATCATGGAGGTTGGCAGAGATCATTAAAGTGTACTCCAATGCATCAGATGACTGTTCCTGTGATTATGAGCACAAATTGCAGGTTATTATCGAACAAGATTAACTACTTGCATTCTCTATTATACCCAAATGTATATTGTAATACTGGTGTAATCACTCTTCAAGAGACTTGGCTCCATGATTCATATGACGATAATTTAGTCTCCTTAAGTGGGTTCACAATCTACAGACAAGACCGATGCAGCTCAAAGAAGAATAGAGGTGGTGGTGTTGCCACTTTTATTAATTCTCAGTGGTCTACTGCTAACAACGTCTGCCTCAAATTCTCAAATGACAATATTGACTGTATAACTGTAAAATGTCGACCTAAACACTTACCTAAGTATAGCTTCATTTTTGTCACAAATATCTATATCACACCTTGTTGCAGTCCCTCAGAACTATCTATCTTCGCTGATGAATTCACTATTTTTGCTGCTACTTCGTTTGGTAACTCCTTATCTATAGTGACTGGCGACTTCAACTCCAGCGACTGCAGTTTTATTACATTGCTGGGCCATGCAAATGTTGTTAATTTCCCAACTCGACAAAATACTTCACTTGATTTAGTATTTATAAATGATTCTGGAATATACGAAGCTCGTAAAAGAGCCCCGCTCTTCAATTCTGATCATTGTATTATACGAGTCTTACCCAAAATTTACGGAAAGTTACACAGTAAAGCCTTCTCAAACTTGTCTACGAAAGTTGTTCACAGATGCTACTCAAATGAGAACGTACATCATCTTAGAAACATGCTCAGTGACACCAGACGGGATTTGTTTAATGATGATTCACTTGATGGCAATATCCCTAATATTACATCCTATCTGATATTCTGTTTTGAAATCTGTTGTCCAAAAGAAACACTATTCGTCAAATTTGACCGTTTCTCCTCCCCTCAACTTAAAAAGCTTCGTTGAGAGAAGGAAAAACCATATAAAATGAAAGATAAAAGTGGTGTAAAAAGAACTAACTTCTTAATTAAGTCTGAAATGCAAAGGTTGAATGTAATATATAACCAGAAATTCATATCCTGCAAAAATCCTTCTAAAATGTGGAAACTATTTAAGGAAATCACTGGTGGTAAGCAGATAATAATAATAATATATTCTCATTTTTTACATGAGGGACGCCAGTTTACAGGCATCATCAATTCGATAATTTACACATAATATTAATAAGCATATTTAGTAAAGATAATATAATAAAGTACATTTTTTCCCTAGCTATGTAGGGTACACCAATTGTATAGGCATGCATAAATATTGTTTTAATAATAATAATATATTCCTTCCTGTTTATGCAGGAACATACCTATTGTACAGGCATGGATAAGTTATTATATAAATTAGACACAATTTGATGTATGATGAATTTACAGCTTGATTGTTCTTTCTGTCATTAGAGTCAGTCGGAACAGTCTGCTATAAAGTCTGTTTGTGTAGCACATAAAGAGATATAGAGATATTGTCTTCGCATTAACAAAACACCCAGACATCACATGAATGTAATACAGATATCTGGGAAAAATAAAGCTTGAGGTCAATTCTCTTATATAACTTTGTTGTGAACAGCACCCTTGGCTTAAAGATTATTGATGTATTATGTTGAGATCAGTGATATATTTATTCCATTTTTCAGCAGTCTCATCGTAGTTTCATAACAGGAAAGAAATTTGATCGTGCAGGCGAAAATTAGATAAGGTCATTGTCAGAGGAGTTGAAGATTGAACGATCAATTCTTGGTTGTTTGCTCAAAATCAACTTCCCCAATTTTCGCGGAGGCATCAATACGACAGTCATCGTCTCATCGGTCGCTGTTCAGAAAGAAGAGTGAAACATCGTCAGAAGTAACAATGATTTATTATTGTAATATTTGTTTACAGACCTTAGTTCGTTTATTCCTTTTATATGTTGGTGTAACAATAAAGAAATATCAAACGGCAGATCGGTGTTTTGGTTTTTCGTCCGTTATAACTAAGCGTTTCTGAAACTTCAAGGAACAGCGTGGGCCCGAGCGTAGCGAGAGCTGGGCATTAACGGTTTATGAGACGTGACTGACAGTTTCTGACGATTGAAACAGATCTGGCGGATTCAAACAGTTGGTGAAAGTTTGGATAGTCGCCGTTCATTTTTCCTGGTGCCGGTCAAGTCCTCTTTGAACAAGCAATATCTGGAACTTTTTGGAATTGGGTCAAGTTCAACAATGCCTGGGTCAAAGAAGGGACAGAGTGTCTTGGATGCAAACAGGAAAGTAAGTCATGGTGACTTGTCTGTTAATTGTAACGATGTGTCTGATGTTAAGCATGACATGGTTGATGTTACTGTTTCGCCGTTCAGGGATAATAGGAACATCAAACTCCCTAAATTTGAACCACGGTGTTTTGATGGAAACCCGGCTGATTATTTACAATTTGTAAAGGAGTTTGAGATCATGTTGAGTGGTTTTTTATTAAATGATGAATTGAAGTTAATGTATTTGATGAGATATTGCACTGGAGATGCTGCAAGAGCTATACAGTGCTGTAAGTTTATGAAGCCAAAAGAGGGCTACGATGAGGCTATGAGCATATTACGTCAAAGGTTTGGAAGACCTTCGATGATTGCAGGGAAATTATTCGAGGCTGTTAAGGGTAATGGTGGTCAATTACAGGATGACTCCCAGGCACTCACTGAGTTTTTAGATAATTTGCTAATTTACAAGAATGGAATGATTTCGATGAATCGAATGAGTGACCTCAACTCGAGTTTTATACTAGAAGTAATAGCAAGACGTCTACCTACTCGACTGCAAAGGAAGTGGGTGAAGATAAGCTCCCGTATGGAGGATGAGGGTATCGAGCCAAAGTTTGATGATATCCTGAAACTGGTAAATACTAGTGTCAATCAATCTATGAGCAAGTTCGCCAGTCTATTAGATCTCACCCCTAGAATAGAGCAGTCTGAGATCAAAATGCAATCATTGATGACGAGTAGGCCTCAGAGAGGTGGATATCGAGAAGACTCCATGATGTCTAGTAATGCATATAGACCTAGTGAGTGTAACAGGTTTCGTAGTACATCCTCAACAGATAAGTTACAAGATGCAAGACAAACACGGTTTTGTTTACACGTGTGCAAGAGGTGCATACAGAAGTG